ATATATATATATATATATATATATATATATATATATATATATTGTTTGGTAATGAAAAGTTTGGTAATCCTTATAGATAATCCCAAGGAGGATGCAATCCAGAGAGCTGAAACCAGAGCGAATATTAATTTAATTAAAATTAAAAACAAACAAACCAAAAACAGACAACTTTAAGTGTCCATTGATTACATTTATTTCCCCAGGAAAGTGTTGTTTTTTTCCTTTTCCTTTTATTTTTATCTATATTTTTTTTATCCGTGGAAATGTGATCTGAGAAACCAGGAAAAACACTCCCTGAGGAAATAAAATATAATCTATGAACCATTAAGGTTGTCTGTTTTTTTAATTTTAATCATATATATATATATATATATATATATATATTTATTTAAAATTATAAGTATGTTATAACATCAGTATAAAATATTATTTTTGTTTCAACACTTCTGGTGTCTTGTCAAGTGATGGTGTTGATTGAAATTGATTGTTCATTTGAATTGACAAGACACCAGAAGAGTTGAAACAAAATAGCTATTTTTGTAGTGATGTTATAACATGCCTATGTTATAATTTTTGCATAAATATTATTCGCTCTAATTTGTATATTTTTTAAATAGTGGTTCTGGTTATCGGAATTTTATTCCATGTATACCAACCTTTATATATATATATATATATATATATATATATATATATATATATATATATATATATATAAGTATTTCATCCCAAGCAAGAAGGGAAGGCCACTAGTAAGCGGGGGAGTTACAGAGAGTGAAGATAAGAGAAAATACAAAAGTAAGGGGGGATTGAGCAAAGGATAAAAAGAACAGGATTCAAGGCATCAGATTACGACGATTGACGTTGCATTTAAATTTTTGAAGATTAGAGTTATTAGGTAAGCAAGTAAGAGTAAGGGCGCCCAACTATCGGGAAGTGCGAGAGAAGATGTCCTTAGATTCAATCTGTAATTTCAGAATCTGGGAAAGAATGGGATTGTTACACACAAAAATATTAAGAATTTAGTTCTTACTGTCAACTATGTCGCCATTGTTTGGAGCGGTCTCTTTGTAGTTTGTCAGCGTGATAGCGTTTTCCTTTGGACATAAATGGGGGGTCTTGACTTCTGTGCGTCTCATGCCAAAATTTTGCACACTGTTCCTTAATTGTTATATACACAAAAATTTAAATACATATATATACAGACAAACCTCTCATCTATGGACCCCTCATCAACGGACTTCGGATGCAACTGACAAAATCTGCAGACAAAATAAAAAACGATGTGCAGGATAAAAGCTTCCAAATCGTCAGTGATGTATTTCAAAATTGTCAGGCTTAGCGGAACGAGTCGTATTAGTTCTCAAAGTGACCGCTTGGCGGCAGTGGCTGGCCTTTCTATTGTAAACAAAGACGGTTGTACAGTATATAAAGTACGATACATTTAGCGCATGCGTGAGAAAGCAGCTGTGAGAAATCTATTATTTTTGTTATTTTGATTAATATACTTTATATTAAGTATATATTTATTTATGCCATATATTCATGTTTATAGTATTTACATTATAATCATAACTACTGGTAGTTACTATAGTGGTTTTATAACTCAAAAATGATAATCCCTTCCCATTTACGGACACTCGGCTTTAACGGACCACACATCCCCCTATTACTCCGTTGATGAGAGGTTTGTCTGTATTTATGAGGCGCATTATATATATATATATATATATATATATATATATGGCTTATTTTCAGGAAGATTGAACAGCTATTGCTATACTAGAAATATCTACCTCTGATACGGAGGTATAGGAGGCGCTAATTTTGGAACGACTCACGTAGATTTGTGTGTGTGTGTGTGTGTGAGAGAGAGAGAGAGAGAGAGAGAAAGAGAGAGAGAGACAGACTGACAGAGAGATAATATGAAAAAATGTATGTCTATATCATTAACTAAAATATGCGCTTTTCTAGAAACATGAGTTTATATGTTTTCGTTCGCGGATCCCATAACTGTCATATGTGAACCACACCCTACTGCAACCGTATCAGCAGTGGGCTGTCTCGTGGAATTTTGCATGACGGAGTCCCCCCCCCGCCTCCCCTGTATTTCACGCTGGTTTTGAATTCAGTTTGGTCCTTCTCCTCAGACTGGTTGCCCTACAAAGGCAAGAGAGTCTAGTCTTCCCTGTTATTTAACCCGTAGTTGGAAAGAGAAGACTAGAGATGGATTCATGCGATTTCCCAAAGTAACTTGTGCGAAAGTGAACGCAACATAGACTGGCCTGGAATTTGAACCCGGCTCACCGGTTCCAATTTCAGCAGCGAGATCCGTTGATTTATCCTCATACGTCGTACAGTTGGTTGAATAGAACAAATGAATAAATGAAAAGTATCACATATCTTCTTTTTTTTTCTCTCAATAAAATCGCACTTTAAAATGTGTGAATAAAATGAAAGAAACAGTCCATAATTATAAGAGATTGCGTTGACATTTCTTCTAGTTTGTATTGATGATCTTTAAAAAATAAGATGAAAAAAAGACGCAACCTTATAAAGTCTTTTAGATGCCGACAGCGTAATTATTTCGTGTCGCTTTTGCAAATCTGCTCTGAAGACGAACAAAGGAATATTATCATGATAAATTAATTTTAATTAATGTGTAATTAAGAGACACGACTTGGCATGTGTTACAACTCACTTAGGAGAATAGTTAGGGATGAGAAAGAAGATTTTCTCTTGTTATAAAAATGTCGGTCTTTTCCCCCACCCTGCAAACTCCTCAAAGCAAAACTATTGAGATAAAATAAGAGTTTAATTAACAGTTGTAAATTTCCTCCTTTAACGTTATTTTTTTTTTTTTTTTTCGCTTTCTGGATCTTTCTTTCTTTCGAACTCTCGCTCACTTTCTTTCTTTTATCGAAACTTCTCTCTCTTTATTTTTTCGAAACCACACTTTCTTTCTTTTTTGAATCCTCTCTCTTTCTTTCTTTCTTTCTTTCTTTCTTTCTTTCGAACTCTCACTCTCTTTCTTTCATTTTTCTGAATTCTATTTCTCTTTCTTTCTTTCTTTCTTTCTTTCTTTCTTTCTTTCTTTCTAATTCTCTCCCACATGTTTTCTTTCTTACTTTCTGTTTTCGAACTTTCTTTCTTTTGAATACACCCACTTTCTTTCCTTCTTATGAACTCACCATCTTTCTTACTTTATTTTTCTCTCACTCTCTTTCTTTCTTTTTCCAACTCTCTCTCTCTCTCTCTCTCTCTCTCTCTCTCTTTCTCTGTTTCCCATTTTCTTAAACTTTTGTTACTATTTCTTTCTTTTTCCTGTTATTCTTCCTTTATCTCTCTCCTTTACTTTTTGTTTTCCTACAAATACACGCGTTCTTCAGTCCTCTCTAACAATTTACAGGCTTTTGATGCCCGGGACACTTTTTGTTTAAAAAAGGAAAAGAAAAATACATCCTCCACGCCGTTTGTTCCAAGTAGTATTAAAGAGTTTCAATTTCCAACACAAATCTCTTTTTTTTTCCCCAGAAGCAAAGCGCTGAGTACGTCTTTTGGAACTGGATTTTATTTAGAAACGGACTCAAAGACGTGACAACTCAGATATTTTCAAGGATACATCATCATACAATATCAAGGATACACCATTATGTATTTTGAAGGCTACATCACCATAGAATATGAAGGCTACATCATTATACAATATCAAGGAGACATCATCATACAATATCAAGTATACATCATTATACAATATCAAGTACACATCATTATACAATATTAAGGAGACATTTTCATACAATATTAAGGATACACCATTATACAATATCAAGAATACATCATTATACAATATCAAGGATACATGATTATACAATAACAAGGATACAACATTATGCACTATGAAGGCTACATCATTATACAATATTAAGTATATGTCAATATATATATATATATATATATAATATATATATATATATATATATATATATATATATATATATATATATATATATATATATATATATATATATATTTTGAACAATAAAAATATTAAAAAAATAAAATCTTCAGACACACTGGGTTGTAGATTAATATTCTTTCGTTTTTATTATTATTATTTCATTTAGATTCCTCGACTAGTTTCGGCCAACATGGCCATCATCAGGAGAAGAAATATTTCTGCTTGCCGGTAGCAGTGAACAACAGAAATGAATGTCTTATGGAGAGAATGAACTTTTGTCTGTAGTTTTCATTTGTTTTTTTATTTTTTATTTTTTAGCATGAATCTTTTAACATTCCTTGTGTTGGCCAAACAATCTCTTTTAAGTTGTTATTTGAGATAAGATCCATACTGAATATATATATATATATATTTATATATATATATATATATATATATATATATATATATATATATATATATATATATATATATAAATTATACACTATCAGCGATACATCAGCATACAATATTGAGGATACATCATCATACAATATCAAGGTTACATTATCATACAATATAAGCGTCGTCCTGAAACTGTTAAAATTTCAAGTGTTCTACAAAAAACCGGGTTTATGACATAAAGTTAACTTCAGTAACCTAAACTAGAAAGCGTTTAATTCTTATTTTTATAGGAATTCCAGTCGGAACAAAACCTTTACCCAACGAATTCCTTTTTGATATTTTCAAAAACTAGGGCCTGAAAGACAATTGAATTTTCTGGGGGAAAAGAGTTTGACAGAGAGAAACACCTAGTAACCTACCTAATAAGCTTGTGCAAACGGATAACAGAATACGGTCTGGTAAAGATAGTAAACGGACAAACAATTTCTTAGAGCTAACAATTATAGGAAGTTGTGGAGACTCATGAACTGCCACATACGGTACATAAAAGAAAAAGGGCTTGGAAACAGAAAAACCCGATTTATTTTGGTTGGTTTTGAAAAATAAAAAGGTTGGGAATTTTTGCACATGTTTAATAAAATGTGTGTATGCCTACGTGTATGTGGATTATAGATAGATAGATAGATAGATAGATAGATAGATAGATAGATAGATAGGGGGAAGAAAATAATAGAAAGATAGAGAGAGAAAGAGACTGAAAGAAAGCACAATAAGAAATAGCAATGATTTTAAATACGTAGGTGAGTGACTGTATGTGTGCTTTTTTATATGTTCACCGAATATAGTGAGCCACTCAAGGTAGAGAAATACTGTGGGTACGCAAGAAAAGAAGTGATGGTGCTATGCAGGAAAGATAATGGTTAACCCTAGACTTGAGGAGGTCAGTATTATAGTGGTTGGAAAGCATTTCGTTGTGAGTCTTTTCCACAAATCAGCAGTTCTTAAGAAGAATCTGTCCGAGTGGGAACTTACTTTTTAGTAATGGAACGCGAAGGGAATGAGGATGATTTTCACTTTTGTAGGCGACAGGGTGGGTCCCAGTGGTAAATGTCACGGGTAGTGGGGCTAAAGAATGTAGCGCGTCAGAAGACCTGCCATGGAAATAGCGAAAGAATAGAGTTGTTGGATGGAAATAATTCATAGCCCCCAAGACCGCGTAGACGCTTTTGAACAGACAAGCGAGGATTGAGCAGCTCCAGTTATGGCCAGCAACTCTCCATCTATTATGACGTAGCTCTTGTAAAGATAGAGCTTAGTACAGGGAGACATATTTACTGGAACGAACCAACCATTCCCCCAGCATCTTTAGCTAATAGCCAGCAATATATCGGATATATGAGGTTGCCCTTGAGGTCTGCTGAGGCCTTGTGTCCCAGTAGACGTTGAAGATGATTAGCCTCGCTTAAAGAACACACGTCCATCATGAAAGGTGAAAGTTCGTGGTCTGCTCGGTGATGGTGGAACATTATTAGTCTGCTTTTGAAGGTACAAGCCATAAAATCAATGATATATATACCGGGTATAACTGCAAAATTGTCCAAATTGTGTAACAGCATGCGATAATTGTCCATCCCACAAAATGTTTAATATCTAAAAAAAAAAAAACACTAAAATAATTGAGTTTCTTTTCCCAGTGTTTTCAGATAAGCCGTTTAGCCATCTTGACAGCATATTTCATAAGAATTACTGAAAACCCCTATAGTTATTCAGCTAGAAAGAGAACAGGTTAAATTCGTTTTGTGCCAGCCCCACTATGTCTTCCCAATATAAGCATATATGAGCACGGGTGAGGAAAAAGAGCATTCAGTAATGGTACCATCATTCATACTCTTCAGAGTCCATTCAAAAACCATCAACAGAATGGTGAATAAGTTTAAAAAAGAGCAGTAGAGAGAAAAACTGGATCAGGAGGTCACGATAGGAAGAGGGATCATCATTTCAACGTAGAACTAAAGAACTAAATACGTTCTTTTTTTTTTCAAACTAGAGCCCAATAGTGTTATAAAAACCTCGGAGAATTCCAGTAAGATATCATTAATCATTTCTGAGATACAACGGTTCAAAGCTTAATCCAATTCAGTTACAGCCGATATATATATATATATATATATATATATATATATATATATATATATATATATACACACACACACACACACACATATATATATATATATATATATAAATATATATAACGATATGAAGAAAATATACAGAAAAACAAACAAAAAATCTTAATATGCAATTATGCTGTATTAATGTTAATATAAAGTCAACGTCGGACGTTTCGATCTATTTTAGACCATCTTCAGGACATTTTCATTTAAACATAAATAAATTTAGAACATATACAAATCCAACATGAAAAGACGATGGACATAAGAGCACAACTAATCCAAACAGATAACTGAAATTTTTATATAAGATCAGCGTTCCGTTTAAATATGATCACGTCGTCGTCACGTGGGCGATGTTGTGAAAATGTATTCGAAGATGATTTCATGTTTAAATGAAAATGTCCTGAAGATGGTCTAAAATAGACCGAAACGTCCGACGTTGACTTTATATTAACATTAATACAGCATAATTGCATATTAAGATTTTTGTTTGTTTTTTCTGTATATTTTTCTTCATACTGTCGGATCTATATCCATATATTTGCTTACATATAACGATATATAATTTTGTACAAACAGTATTTAGAAAAATATTACAAACTGGAAAGGTTTTTTTGTGACGTGTTTTATCCGTTACGATTTCATCGGACTGGGCTTTGATGACATGGGCACGAAACGAGAGACGCAGGTAGTTTCAAAATCTTTTGAAAGAATATTTTTTAAATGATTTTTTTTTTTTAATCTAACCGAATTAATCTGTATGCTTTTTCTTTCTCTTTATCTCTCCACCGCCTTTCTTCTTGACTATCCCACACACAATATGACAATCTAAAATCTACCAAGAATGGTGATATATTGTAAGAGCCTGGACAGCAAATTTATTGTGGCTAAACTAGCGATCAAAGCAGTTTTCAGGCATTTTCATCTCAGTGGATTATTTTCTCTTTTAATCAAAGTCGCATTCCCTATGTCAAAATT